CGCAGTTAGCATCTTATATTATGCCACTGTACAATGTTAAAACTTTAAAGTGAAACTTGATCTTGCGACTTGATCTTGTACCTGGGAACAAAGATTTTTAAGGCGAGAATACTGTCGGTTGCATCTGAGCGTGGACACGAGACAAAAAACTTGTTCTAATAGGGTGCCAGATATGACGTGTTTTGCCGCCAAAGATTTGAAGTTTGACAGCCGTTAAAGCAAACTGTCAAGCCAAAGGTAAGTTTGTAGCCAATTAGAACATGTTTTTTCCTCAGGTGTACACGCTCAGATGCAACCAGCAGTAATTATGATCGTCGGGATGAGTGTACTGAACAGAACTGTTGTTGACAGTGCTTGACGTTTTGACAGGTCTTCAGGCCCTATCCACATGTATCCAGATAACTTTGAAAACGAAGACTTTTTTCCTTATTCTTGCCTCCATCCACACATAAACGGCGTTTTCAAAAACAGACCCAGAGTGGAGATTTTTTAAAACGGCGGCTTCTCGTTTAAAGTGGGTGGTCGAAAACGGAGATTTGTGAACAAGATTATGTCAAGCACCATATACTACCAGCTAATAGCATTACGCATGCTCTTTAAGGGCTGCTATCGTCTTTCCATCGTTTTAGGGTTTTCATGTGGACAGGCTAAAACGATTCAAATACGAGTCATGTAGACGCCTATTTTTTTTGAAAATCCAGAAAAAAATCCCCATTTTCGAAAATATCCGGATACGTGTGGACAGGGTGTCGGGGTCAAAGTCAGTTGTATCACCTCAGTTGATTGTATTAAACTCTGGTTTAGGGTACATGATTTCTAGGTACTCAGTAGAAGAGCACAAAGACTCTTGTTGCATGAAGTTTTTAAACCCTACAATAATTGCTGAGAGATTATTACGGCAACCAACCTAGAAGCCTTAGGTTCCTCACAATGTTCCCATTCAGTCCAATGGTCAATCAATACAGTACATTGATACAGTGATTTGATTATTTCCAGGCATTTATGGAGAGACTTGGTTTATGGGGAGATGGAACAGCATTTAAATCGTTTGATTCTTTTCTAGCCAGCATAACTAAGAGAGGTCTTGGTAAGTGGTATAGTTTTCAGCCTAGACTACGAGCAGTCTCTTTTTCTTAGTCCGTCGAGCAAAACGCGCGAGACGCAACATGACCACGCGCAACGCTCTCTCGCGCGCGTGCACTCCCCCTCACTAAATCTGAAGAAAAGAGAGGCTGGTCGTAGTCTATTTTCAGCCCCAATGATCCACATACAAATTCTCCCGACTGATCCCCTACCTTTCCTTAAAGAATTAGTGAAGAGATTTTAATGATTATTTTATGAATTCTCTAAACTTTTCTTGTAATGATGTATGGATATTTTTAGAGAAAATTGATGTTAATCACGTTTGGTACGCAATAGGATAAAGGGTTATATCAAGATGACTTCCATATTCTTGTCAAAGTTGAGCTGAAATTGTAACTAAATATTTTCAGTCACCTTTTTCAAACTTGGAACTCTAAAAAAGAAAGCTATCAAATGATTCGATCTAAGCCAAGGGGAAGTAATGCATGTTCGTTTCTGGTCATTTTTCGAAGAACTCCTGCCTGCCGTACAATGCTTAGCTGTGATAAGAGTGTTAAAGATCTTAAGGTGCAGCGCGTCCTTGTACCGGCTCTGGTAAATTACTCGAAACCTTAGCCTAATTTATGGGTAGACCACCTGTACTATAACCGTTGAGAGACGGCTAGCTAGGCTAGTGGCTAGAACGGTGATGCGCCATGGCGATGCTATTACCACGTTTCGGAAATCATGGTCGCCTTTTATATAGCCTGTCCCAGGCTTTGAAATAGTAGAGTGTGGTGCGAAGTTAGAGAACGGGAAGAAAAAAAGGACAAAGAGGGAGAGAGAGGAAGGAATTTCGCCCTCACTCCCTACCCCACTCCTCGCTGTTTTTTCTGCGCACATCTCCTTGCATCGTCCTCACAATCTGAACTCCTGGAACAGGAGCTTACACTTCTCCATCGGCAGAAACGATGTATCTCAAGGTCACTAATATTTAAAATCTTTCCAGGTGCTTCTGAAATGTTAGCTATAGAAATGAAGGCATCAGGGATGTACGTTTCTAGAGGTCTTAGTTTCAGACAGGCTGAGGTAATGCATTATTTTAGAAATGGCATCGTAATTTTCTGTTGTAAGCAGAAGTTTTCCTATCATACTGAAATATGCTTTTTTTTTTTGCAGTGCTTATTACTTCACTTCTGTTCTTTTTTTTTGTTAACAAACTTTGATAATGCTTTTTGTCGCATTTCTGCAGTTTGTTAATGTTGAGGCGACACTGACTGCGGAACAGAGAAAGGTTTATGACACTGCAGTTCACGTTTGGTACGTATGGCAATGTAAAAAGGTTAAATCTTCGTATTAACTGCTTTTAAGTAGACCACAACTTAAGATGGAATCATTCAGTGGTTTCTTGTACCAGGGCTCCGGGATTAACTTATGCGATTTCGTAGAAATTGCACTCAAAACTTGTGCGTTTGTTTGAGTCAAAGCAAAAGCAAAACAACAATCACAGTCGGTATTCTAAGAATTAACGGTTGTGTGTATGTTTCACAATCATAGTGTGAATATGTTTCAGCTTTTTTCCTTTTCTCTTTAAAGGAGCGAGTTAAAGAAGTCATTAGAATTTGCCATTGGTCGCACCACCCCTTCTACGAGGGTCGTACAGGGGTATTCCCGTGATGCGTGATTGGCTGATTTTATTTTCCGTGAAACGTGAATTTAATAATTTATTCTTCGTGATCCGTGATCTGAAGGTTTTGCGTGACCCGTGAAGAACTTGAATTTTTAACCGATATTCGTGATTTCACCACTCTGTTTGGCGTGATTTTGAGATGCGAGTGCATGTGACAAGTAACAGACTTCGCTTTAATTAAAGTAATCCATTCTGCAAATTCACGTGCTTTACATGCCTATCATGACTATCATGCCTATTATGGATCAGATGTCTATTCCTATGCCTATGGTCTCCTATGCCACTGGATCTGGAGGTCAAAGGACAGTGATCCAAAACATCGAAACATCCGAGACATGGAGACCACCATGTTCAAGGCCGGAACATTGCCGTTAAACATGTACAGAACATCAGACTATCCTAAAGATAAAGTCTCATTCAGCCCTAACACTGTCGAAGAGGAAACTGTTACTTCTGCTACGACTGTTACGCCTTCTACATCGCACGACGCCATTGAAGATGTTCAAGTAGTAGAGGAAGCCGAGGTAGAAGAGGAGGAAGAGTATGACACTGACTCAGACGCTGAATATCCTATTGCTGACAATTACGAGGTAGATTCTCTAGACGATTTGTTGTTTCTTCGGGCAGTTACAACGCGAAGTGGACGAATGGTCAGAGTCGTCCATCGAGAGTGATTTAGGTATGTGATTTCCGATAAGCAGCCTTTACTTGGCGTTTAACGATTTTGCTTTCTTCAAACACTCTTTTCTACCGTAAGAGGTTATTAAAACGAGTACCTTTCTTGTTTATTTTCGTGATTCGGGAAAATGAAATTTTGATAGCCGAGATCCGTGATTCGCTGTTTTTTCTGTTCGTGAACCGTGCGAGAGACCCCCTGTACGACCCTCTTCTACACCAAGGGTGTGGTCAGTCTTTGGTCCTGTCATCAGCGGTTCTTCAAACAGCTCTGGTGAGTATTTAATCCCGTCTCTGGTCCTTGGGGGCGGATATTACAACAAAGTTTAAACGTTATTTAACAAAAACCGTTCTAACGCTCATACCTTGTCATCGTTTGCTGTTCACATCAACAAGAAGGCGACAGCCTAAATTAGAAAACCATTTATCTACTTAAAATCAATACCCTACAAACGAATAAGGAGGCGCTCTGATTTTTAGACCTCGTTTAAATAGTCGACCTTAAGTTTCACCTTAACATTTTTGCCTTCTTATTTCCAGTAATGTTGTCCTTGATGCTAGTTCATCGGCCTATTTAAAGTTATACGTAAGACTAAATCGGTATCGTCTCCAATGGTACTGTGGTACTGTTTGCAGACGCTATCGCCTTTTTATTGGATATTACGAGGTTACGAGGGAAACTGGATCAAAATTCATCCCCAAAACAGTCCCATAGTGCAGTTCGACTCAACACCGACCCATGTCCAAGCGAGGTTCAGTAAAAAACCTAAAAAAAAATAAATGAATTTCATTTGTATAAGAATTAAAAAAAATCATTTTCATATCAATGGCTTCGCACTTAGCCTCTCTTTGAAATAGAGGCTTGAGGCAACTCGGAAATGGCTATATTCGTGGGCCGCTTGGGAGCTCTTGGAACAGCTACCAGGATTGCGTGAGAAATTAATGAAAAAGCAACGGAAACAAACCGTAACCCTGAAATAGTAGAGCTACGTACCTGGTAGAGCGAATGAAATTATAGTTTTTGAACGGCTTCGTGACAGTGGCAATGTAACGTAATCCAAGACAGTCTTTGATTCTGGATTGCACGCTGTGGATTCCGGATTTGTTATCACTGGAACTTGGATTTGGGATTTCCAATCGTTAGCGGGATTACGGATTCCAAAGTCCAGGATTCCGGTTATCACATGAAAATTTTTCCTGGATTCCGAAATCTGGATTACCTGATCCTGGGCGGATCATTATACGTTTCTGGGAAACTGCCCACCTACTCCTCCCTTAGGCTAACATTTTGCCCTAAGTGAGAAGTAAGTGTTGATGTTGGCTTAGGGGAGGGGTATGTGGGTAGTTTCCCAGAAACGTATAATGATCACATGGGACAATTTTGCCAGTATCATGTTCAACTTTAAAGCGCCAGCAGGCATTTTTACTTTGTAACCTTGCTTATATTGGGTCTGATAACAGATAAGATGTATATGAATATTTTTACAGCATGAGTATGAAAGTTCCTACCATAGTGGAAGAAGCCCAGCAAGCATTGCAGGCAGGATATTGTGTGGTCATTGGTCTCCAGTCCACTGGAGAGGTTTGTTTTCTCTTTCTGTCCAATTTTTTTTCGTATCCACTCAAAAAGGGTTACAGTTTCTGATAACATAAAAATTTCTTTATTTCAATGTCAGCCAGTGTTTAAAAAGTAATGTTTGAGACACTGAGGACTTCTTGCAAAGTTAGTAGAAAGTACGTACCAAATAATTGTTCGCCCCTCACACTGTATAGAGAGTTTCACATAACATTGTAGGTTCTATTAGTGGATGCACTTGATGCAAGGCTATCGCTGCAAGTATTTTATGACCCTTAAGGACGTATGTACGGTCTACGCAGTATTTATGTTCGACAAAACAAAAAAATGGTTGGATTCTATCGAGAACGCACAATTCGTCTATAAAGAATTCCTGCAAATTGCTGGATTTGGCCGCTGGATGTATAATGGCCATCGTATTTTCCCTGCAATAATGGTATTTCGTTGGTCCAGCAATTCACCTGTCAAGGCGGATTTTGTTCATCTGGAAAGTGATAGGCTACAGCAAGACTATCAATTTTGTCCAGAAGGCATGATCGACCACAGGTCACTAGATTTCGTAGGACATGGGCCATTTTTGATAATTTTACTCAGGTATTGTTCAATGACCGACGGTTATTTACTTACTACTTATTAACCAAGAGTGGGGTCGTTACAGGGAAGTCTCAGACCAAGGCCTTGATTTATTGACCGAGCCATAGCACAACAGAACCATTTTTAAAATACTTTTTTAAACTTAGATAATATTATATGTCCCTTCGAATTCAACTCCAGAAAAATTCACCAACGTTTGACAAATTCAACGACATGGAATAACAGCGAGGAATTTTGAAACAGCATGAATTCCCTTTTTAGGAGACGTTTTTTGGTACTGTTGTTGTCGTCGTTGCTTAAACTCCCCAATGATCATGAGAAAGTAGTTGCTTGAATAGAGTTTGGTTTAAGTCATTGTTTTATTTGTCAGGCAAGTTTGGAAAGTGAAATATCACGTTGTGGTGGAGTACTGAATGGCTTTGTCTCAAGTACAGAAGAAATCATTAGCAGGTTTATCAAGCAGTATTTTCCAACTCAGATAATCAAATCGGTGAGTAATTCTGAACAACCCTGCTTAGCTGGTGAGATTTAACTCACGCGAGTGCTTAATTTTACGAGCGCTTTTGTTCTGGCTTTGAAGATCAGAGATGATTGAGGATAAGTCAAGTTGACACCTCTCTTTCAGGTCCGTTCACTAAGATTTTAAGTTGCTGGGTATAATTTTTATGCAAAGTTTCGAAGGAGATTTTTACAGCTGGGAAGTTCTTTATGTTCATTTTTCCTTCTATTCCTATGTAAGTAGCCGGGGGCCTTACTCAAAGTTCCCAGGGGAAATTCCCGGTCCCGGACCCTCAATTACAGCCCTGCTCTTTCCCCTTGCGACTTCAGCGCCGCTGAAAAGCACTCCTGCGTTCTGATTCCACCAGCTTTGCAGGTCAATCTCAAGGATGGTACATCAGACAACGAATGGATAATTTTGAAAATCCACTCTATGCTCAACATTACTTAATACACTTTCTGTAACCTGCAAAGCAGGCGTATTTTGTAGGGTGACTGTTCTCCCGCCATCTGAGATATTGAAACTGACAGAGAGTTCAGTCACCTGTTCAGTTGGCGTCAGTGAAGAAATGATTCAAGGTGGCGGACGCGATCAATATACATTTGTACCTCTAGGCTTAAGTTTAAGAAAAATGTTTGCTCTACAGGCCACACTTTCTGCGTTCCACATTTCTAAGATTTGATGGTACGTCTCCTGTTATGGTTCATGAGCCACGGAAGTCCAGTCCAATAGTCTTGTTTACTCACTTTCCCGGCCTTATTTTTGTTTCGGGTAATGTGAAGTTAAGTAAATTTTTTTAAAAAAGAGAGAAATCAAGGCTATTATGTTCTTTGTGTAGAATGGCGATGTTGTTGAAGATCAGTGGAGTGTTCAGGCTAAAAATCTTCTACAAGGTTTTGTCAAGAAAATTAATCTCCCAATCAGGTTTGTATCAATGTTATATTCTTTAAAACCCTTTTAAAGAGCCTGTCTCACTAGGATGAGCTTTTGCTGTTTTAGGTCAATGCTGTGCAAGAGTCCCCACTTAGCACCTTAACCTAAATACAAAATGCTCCTGAGGAATTACACGGAAAATAGCAAACAAATTTTTAATCATGGAGCACTAACCACTATTTTTTTTGTTGATTGTTACAGGCTTAGTATTAAAACTTGAACAATTTGGTAGAACGTTTTCAAGTTTAAATCCATGTCCATTCTTGCCATCCGTTGCAACAGACGACAGAAATCAGTTTCAGTGCTTAAAAATATTCTTAAATAACAAATTTGCCGCATTATTTTTGGGATTAATCCTGGGTGGGGATGGAATGGATCCTGTTATGGACTACCATACACTGTCTCACTCCACCCAGGTGTATAAATTTGGGTACCAAAAGATTTAATCCTGGGTGGAGGTGGGAGGGATCCTGTTATTGACTACTATCCCGTCCAAGGAAGAGCAAAAATATTCCTAGTCGCTTCATGCTATGGAGATCGGAATGTGCTACGGCCAAATGGGCCACCTGGCTCGAACGCAGACTTTACCCTCGTACCTTTGTGACTTATTTTTGTCTCTAGTCCTCTTGATGACCTTATAAACCAGCTCGGAGGACCAGGAAAGGTAGCAGAAATGACAGGCAGGCGTGGTCGCGTGGTAAAAACTGACAAGCAGCCTCAACCTCATTACGAGGCTCGAGAATCAGACAGCAGCAATGTGGATAGTTTGAATATTCAAGAGGTGAGCAAAGTAATCAGAACTAAATCTTGCGCTGTGTTCCGAATGAAATGGTAGAAAATGCGATTTACAGTCGGTCATTAGAGTCATCAGCACAGACGTCATCCTCGGCCAAGACCCTGGAGCAGGCAGCCAGGTCGAAAACTTTCGTCGCACGACTCGTCGCACCGTTTCTGCCGACCTGACTGACTGCCCCTGGGTCTCCGAGGATGAACTCTGCCTTTGTCCCTTACATTTAAAAAACAGGAACGTCGTCGCGAGAAAGACAGTCTAGTTCTTGCTTTTGTTACTTGTTCCTGGGATTAACTTTACTAGTGTAGTCCAACCTTAAATTCTTACTCTGAATCTGAATAAGACTCTTATGTATGCCGTAAATTCAGGTAGCAATCCGGTTTTGGATCTTCGTTTCATTCCCCAGTATTTTTCGCTTTCGCTATGACAACTAAGTCCGCATAAAGCAATTGCTTGAAGCTCAAGGATTGTCTCTTTAATACCACAATTTTAAGAGGGTTGTTCGAGTATAATTGAACATTAAACGTTGTTTTTTCGATTGCATTGTATCACAGAGGAACGGTTTTATGAATGGAACAAAACTTGTTGCAATTATATCTGATGCTGCCAGCACTGGTAAGTTCCCTTTGCATCTTAGTTCTTTTCAGGGTTCGTACAGAGTCTTGAATTCTTGAAATTTACCCAGCAATTTTCCAGACGTGAAAAAAGTCTTGAAAGTTGAGGTAAAGTCTGGAAAATTATTTACAAGTCTGGAGTTTTTTTTTTTTTTTCAAAGCTACAACAAGTGCTTCATAAGTGAATTTTTTCCCGGTGGTCAAATCTTATTCAATCTCGCCCGCATTGAAGACATGTAATCACAGAATGAGAAGTTTTAAAATGTCCGCATTGCACCGTGGTTACCGTACGTTTGCAGTGCGTCATGAAAAAAGCTTGGTTCCTGCGTTTTTCAAGGTCTCTATTGATCACCCAGTTGTTTTCCTTGTGTCTGGAAAAAAAAGTATATTGTTTTAGAAAAAGTCTGGAAAAAGTCGTAAATTTTGGATCCAAGAATCTGTACGAACCCTGTCTGTTGAAGTTACTTAGATAAAACCTTGCACTTTTTAAATTCTTTTGATACTTGAAAATTGAGGGCAACCTTTGGTTATTTTCACGCAAAGAATCGCTGGCTCAATGCCTGTTAGCGTTCAATTGTGTTGCCATTGCTTGGAATTTCGTGCAGAAACTCGAACTTTAGACTGATGTTTCTCGACTTGAAATTTTACTCAAGCAGGAATTAAAAGAGTTTTCCGCGGGTAAAAGGAAGCGCAATAAATACTGTGTATAAGTGACAAGACAAGACAAGATAATATTTTACTTGGGGTCTTATACCACCTGGTACATCGACTGCTTTCCAAATAATATAAATTACAACCTTCTATGTGATATCATTTGTAAGACTCGTTGAATTATATCTAATTATCCTGTACAGGTATCTCGTTATACGCGGATCTCCGAGCAGCCAATCAGTGCCGCCGTGTTCACGTGACCATTGAGCTGCCATGGAGTGCTGACAAAGCTGTTCAGCAACTGGGAAGATCACACCGGTCAAACCAGACGAGGTACGTGTACTGCCAAAGCATAAACATTGCTGTTCCTTTGATAAGCTGTTACCTGTGCAAGAAGCTAGAGTTACTCGAGGCGTACACTTCTTTCGTGCGTAGAAACCTCCCGCGTGTATACATAACTCCATGGTTTCATGCTGCACGTTTACCATTTTTTAAGTCAGAGAGGAGATATCACGTGATAATGTTCACCGTCTAATTGGCGCGCTTGGGAGCTCCGCTTTTTGTTCTAAATTTGACTTTGTGTTAATATCCGGCCCTGAGAGTTTTACTCTAATGTTTTCTTTGTTTTTTTTTTTTAGTGGACCAATCTACAAACTTGTAACAACAAACTTGGGCGGTGAAAGAAGATTTGCTGCGGCTGTGGCTCGACGGCTTCAGTCGTTAGGTAATGTTTAAATGTTTGCAGACGCGGAAAATCGTGAACATCAGACGTATTCTGAATTAGTAAAATCCAACTAGTGGTCTATCATCAATGCTGCGTTCTGATTGGTTGAGCTACTACGAGGCTATATATTATAGCCCACTAGTAGCGAAAAGCGCCGGCTTTGAAAACCAAAACAGTGGTGGCTGAATCTCGTTTTGCTAGCTAAAGTTGTTTTTTCTCGATATTTTTGACCAACTAGTTGGATTTTACTAAAACAATTATTCCTCTCGCCCTCATCGCCTCTGAGTCAATAGCCCATTCGGCCGAATAGCCCATGACTCAGAGGCCATGAGGGCGAGAGGAATAATTGTTAATTATTCTCACGGAGTTCCAAAGAAAAGTACTCGCAATAAGAGTAGAACCTTTTACCGTCTGGTTACTAGTCCAGATGCAGTACCACTAAGATATTCTGCACTTTCCAGAAGTTAATAGAAAAACAAGAAACAACATAAGCAACAAATCATGGAGAATATTGGATATGGCCTGGGTGTAACGCCATAACCCACTTTAATTATACCCAAAAGATAAAACACCACAGCAAATGAAATAAAACTAAAAGCTACATGTAAGTGTGCCAGGGTGGCCAGAAAAACCTGTCCCAAAAAACCCTGTACGGAAAGAAGCACAGGAAATCTGGGGCGGGCCAGGCGCAACTTACGTCCCCCACCAGGACTCTAAACAAATTACTCAGAACTGCAATAGACCAAAGCAGAACTTCTAATATATAAAACCATTACACGTGTACAGTGGAAAATATACTAAAACTTGTATACACCTGGACTGAAAGTGACTTAGATAAGGCTAAGCGCTAACAATTACACGCAAACTCTGGAAAATATACTGAGATATATCAATATCTCTAAATCAAATTACTCAGAACTGCAATAGACAAAAGCAGAACTTCTAACATATAAAAGCATTACACGTGTAGACTGGAAAATATACTAAAACTTGTATACACCTGGACTGAAAGTGACTTAGATAAGGCTAAGCGCTAACAATTACACGCAAATTTTGGAAAATATACTGAAATATATCTATATCTCTAAATCAAATTACTCAGAACTGCAATAGACAAAAGCAGAACTTCTAATATATAAAACCATTACACGTGTAGACTGGAAAATATACTAAAACTTGCATACACCTGGACTGAAAGTGACTTAGACAAGGCTAAGCGCTAACAATTACACGCAAATTTTGGAAAATGTACTGAAATACATCTATATCTCTATGAAATGCGCCTGGACTGAAAGTGACCTACGTTGTAGATACGGAGAGCTCGTTAAGACCATGCTGAAAATGCCTATGCCGGCTTAGTGGGGCGGCACCTCCAACCGGCGTGGATATCCGACAAATCACCAGCTGTTCTCCTACAAGTTGGATTGGGCGCCGCGTCAGACTCGCGCTCACTTGTGGGTGCGGTACTTACTTAGAAACGTCACCAACTAATGACTTAATATGCCTCTTAAACACCTCTCCCAAATAACGTGAATAAAGAAACACTTGCACTAGAATGAAAGTACAACATACCGTACTCCTAAGATTGAGCATGGACAATTATACGAACTAGTGGAAACGCAGAGCAGGTTTAAGGCGAGAACTTAATAAAACACTAGGTCTCAGCTACGGGACAAGGCCTCAGAGTTCAAAATAGATCTACTTCGCGCTTGCATGGACACATAAATCGACATAAAACTATTACATGTATATATTTTAGATAGAAAACATCGCGATTTAGAGGCAAAATCTGCAGCAATCGCCTGACAAAACTAACAGAAAGCAGCTACTTAGGCTGAACTGGGTGCGCAAGCCTAGCTTCTTTTGGCGTCTTCTAATTTAAAAGTAAACTTAAGAAAGGCGTGGCTAACAGAACAAACTTAAATACCAGCCACTGCATGGCCCCGATTTATACTGTAAACAGCAGATTCTAAATAAGATGCGCCAGTGAAATTTCTAAGTTTCTTGACTCAGAGACTTTGTTTCTGCTCAACAAATGTCGTCAAAGTGCAAGTCTCTTCAATTTTAAAGGAAAAAAAAAATTTCGATATTCGAGCAGGAGACGATCCCGGAGTGCTAAATCTAACCACTAGACCACCGAAGATTCGCTGCAGGAGATTGGAGTAATTTAACTACTGTAGCAAAAACCCTAACCCTCAAAAGAAGCTAACCGTTAATCCTAATCACTATTCTAAGTGCTTAACCCTAATCAGTATGGTCAGTGCTTAACCCTAATCAGTATTGTTAGTGCTTAACCGTAATCACTATAGTCAGAGCTCACTCATATATGTATACATATATGCAATTACTTTGTGTAGGCATCACAAGGTATCCAAGGGCGGTTTGAGATATGGAAACTAGCATTTACCCAGAATGCTAAGCTAACTTAGATAGATACAATGAGACATGCAAAGGTTTTTCGAATAGCAGAAACACCAGTCTTCGATAAAGCCCACTCACGCCACCACAATAAGCCAGACTCGTATCTTCAAGACTGAAGATGGAACGTTAGCATCCAACTGCAAACCAGTCAGGCCTGGAACTGTATCCCTCAGCGAAGAATCAGTCAGCTCACATGCCGCACAAATGTGCCAAACCGGGCATACAAGGCCAAATCTGGCTCAAATCAGGCCACCACTACCAGACACACTGGAAAGAAAATCCAGTTATCATTTCCACTCCAGTCTCGGACAAAGGCATCGGACATACCTACAACGAGGAGAAGCAAACTAGGGGTCAAAACGCGGAAGCTGAACGCTCTATAATAGGATGTGAAACGGTTAAGATTCGTGCGAGGACCCCATTTGGCTTCAACGACTCGAAACACATAGGGATTAACTGGCGAATCATTCTCGTCAATGAAACGGCGTAAAAGATCAGCCTTCCCGGTGAGCGATCTAGGAATCCACTGCGCTTCCAGGGCAATACCATGCGAAAACAAACAGGAAAAACGCTTAGAGCCACCGACTGTATGGACCTTAAAGACACGAAAGAAAAGTACTCTGGCAGCACTCTGGTTGTCAGAGAAAATTTTCACCCTCTTGTGCTTCAACCGCTCTACAAAAGAAAGCAAAACACAATAAAGTATTAAATAGCTATCAAATTCGCAAAAAATAGAACTTTGACCCAAATAATCGATTGTGAACATAACGCTAGCCACAGGACGGAAAAGCCGCGAAATGAAGCGTCGCTTGCGCCGGGTAATACAACTGTGGAAAAATTGGGGAGAAGGGGAGGTGCCAAATGGAGTTACCGTTTAAAGAGTCAATGTCACAAAAACGAAAACTTCAACTCCATCAGCCGCGGGGGAGTGAAGCGAGAAAGGTGATCCTAAGCCGATGAAGACTCCATAGCTACCTTCGTCTGGCTTGTACGAAGAGGGGAATGGGCTCCACCGCTAAGGCAACAGAAATAATGGAACCAGCCATCCCAGCTGATTTGCGATAGAAAGATGACTCATTTTGAATTGCAGAATTCGGCCAAAGCCGCTTCACTAGCTGAAAACTTGCTTCTCGGGGATCTAAAACGCAAAACAAATGGTGCAGACTGCAAACCCGAGCCACTCGCTCACTAGTATTGGGACCCGTTGGGATTTCTCCTTACCAATAAGGAAACGGGAAGAATAAGCCCCTTGCGCTCAATAAAAGCTAGACCGGGCGGCGGAGGTCCTCTTAGATGACTACCAAATGCGTCATCGAGATAAACAAAAAACTTGAGACCCATAGAAAGCCAGTAAAACAAAAACAAACGCTTAACTAGACCAAAGACTAAAATCGAGAAAGCGAAATACCAAAGCACACCTTGAAGGGCCAAGAAAAACCTATATACGTCTGGTGATCTAAGGAAATGTCAATCCAGATTATAGGTCCCACTCATAGTCTCGGTGCCCCTCTTTAAGAACCTTCGATAAGGTGCGAAAAATTCTCGTACTCAACCTTAAATCGAACGAGGTAGCAAATAACGTGACTGCATAAGATCGATGACGACTGCAGCCGTCAGAATGGAGGCTCACCAGGCTCGATAATACAGCCATTGGCTAAAAACTCGGAAGTGGGCAATGGTAGCAACAGTGAACTGAGGTGCTTCTAGGCTTGACTCACAAAGACTGAAGGAGGACCTAAAGCGACCTTAAATAACTCCTAAACAGATATCCCCAGGGAAAATTCTTCGGAAACACTAAATTAAATCAAATCACACTCATCTGAAGATTGACAAATGAATCCTTTCCTTCACCTATATTGTAGCCAGTCACTGCGAGGATTGGTCTTGGAAATGAAGAAACAGACGTGAGCAAAAGCCGAACTTCAATCACTAAAAAACAAAACAAACAATTTTTCCAATAAGCTGAGCAATTCAATGATAAAAAGAAATCAGACTGTGGGTTGTTAGGCGTTCACAGACCCGAAGGACGAATACGAATGAACAAGACACTTATATAACTGTACGCAAAATACTTAACACCAAAAATACCGAAACACAAACAGACAAGATAATACACGTAATTAACCATTATAAGAACGTGCAGAAAACAAACGTCTGCTAAACTGCGTACCGCAGATACTTTTGCATTCTGCTTGGACTAGTTCTAGAGATTCTAGCAGTATAATCAGTGTGAACAACCTGCATGTAATACTGCTAGAGTGTCTAGAACTAGTCCTAGCAGAATGGCTAGAACATTCTAGTCCTAGCATTATGCAAGATGTTTGTCACGTGAACCTAGTTTAGGGACCAGTCATAATTTAAGTTGGGGGGGTTGGAGGAGAAATTGGGGGCCTTCAATTTTTTTTGGATGGAAAGGGGGGGGCCTTAAAATGCCAAAAGATGACCTTGGGGGTCTTCAAGTTTCTTTTAAGTAGCATCCCTACTGAGCAGCATGATGTTTGAGTATTAAAGGACCTGATTTTGATTCAGTTTTACACAAAGTCCTATATTGTGTAATACTAAAACAATTTAATCAGCATTTTTACAAAAAGATTTAATGCTCAAATAGTAGGTGCATCAACACAACATCCATTATTGTGTAACACTGAAACAATTTCATCGGCATTTTAAGAAATGATTACATGCAGAAAGTCATGTTATGCAATCTCACTATCCGAATCATTATTTGTAGATGAGGTTGATGCGGACTCACTGTCTGTGTCACCGTCAAG